TCTCTTCTCGGTGGCTGGGGGACTCTCCATCTGCCCAGGCTCTCAGACCTCTGGGCTCCTCCCACCTGCGACCCTTGGACTCAGAGCACCTGGGAGCCTTCACCTCTTAGCTTGTCCAACCTCTCATCTACCTCATGTCTTCCACCTTCACTGTCTCCACCGCCAGGTCAGGGAATGGAGTTCTCAGAAGCCAGAAGCCAGCCAAGGGGGACCTCCCTCTGCCCAGTAAAAAGCCAAGTGGTCCATCTTCCAGGGGGTCTGACTTGTTGGGGTGGGGCAGCAACCTGGCAGGGAGTTGGCCTCGTGGGCTGTGATCCCTGTTGCGGACAGCACTTTGGTGACCATTGTGGTTATAACAAGTCCCATCTTCCTGCTAGTTACGGAGAACCTTCTGGAAACAGGTTGTTACTGGTCGTGGTGGGTGTTCACTTTGTTAACCGACACCCACCAGTATATGGATGAGCATGGCTGAGTATTCACCCAGAGGGAACAAGATTTTGTTAGAAGAAGCTGAAATATTGACTTACTGCCTTTGTCCCCAAGGGTGAGATCTTTGGTGTCTGGCCAGCTGGTCCAACCCCTGTTATCTTGGCCATGTCGGCAAAGTGCTGAGGTCACAGCCAGGACTTCCACGGGGCACGAAGCTGGCAGGAGGCCTTCGCTGCTGGGACTCGCCCACATACACACACGCGTGCACACATGTGTACATTTCTGTGGGGTGGGAGCTTGTCCACCGCGCTGAGCACAGAGGCGGGAGAATAAACTGAAGCCCTGTTGCTGGGCGAGGCTGGACTCAGGGCCAGTTCCCAGGCAAACGCTCAGACTAAGGCTGACGTTCTTTCTGATTCACTGATCCGATCCCCGGCTTCCCCTAATCTGCTGTGTGTTCCTTCCAGCGTGTTCTTTATTAGTGCTCTGTCATTCTTTATTTCCGACTGGTCTTTTTCCGTAGTTACCATATCTTTTCTCGTGCTGTTGAGCATCTTTGCCATCATTATTCTAAACTCTGTATCTGACACATTTCTTACCTCCATTTCGTTTCGCTCTTCTGGAGAATGCTCTTGTTCTTTCATTTGGGGGTTGATTTTTTTGTCTCCCCATTTTGGCTGCCTGTTTGGGTTTGTGTCTGTGTATTAGGTGGATCTGCCATGACTCCCAATCTCTACTGCAGGACAATGTCAGACGCTGTTTCTGACTGGCCCTGAGTCCCCTGTTTGGAGCTATCAGCCATCCACAGCCTGTGGCTCCCCCTGCTGGGGCCGGTGTCTGGAAAGGACCGAGATGTGCACCAGGGTTTGCTTTTCCTAGCCCTGGGCCCGAAGAAGATCCGGCAAAGACTCAAAGCCTCCGGACATCCTCCTCCGTCTGCAGTCTGATTGTTATTCTCAGAGTCTTAAGAGGGTGCCTGCATTTCCAGTCGCTTTTCACAGCCAGTTGTTATGTGGGCACCTTTCTCAGTTCAGGTGCTCTGGGCTGGGGAGCCCAGCTTGGGGCTTAGACCCCAGCGCTCTCAGTGGGAGCCTCCCACAGCTGAGACATCCCCCCGGAACTTCAGCTGCTGTCTGTGGGCGCCCGGCCAGCCCTCGCGCTTCTCCGCCCCTCCTGTCACTCTCTATGCGGTCTCCACTTTCTGTCCTTGGTTTTTCTGTAGTTTAGTTATAGTTCCAGTTTGGCCCACTTACTCCGCCGCCGTTTTTAATCTCCGATCAATTCTGATGTTCTTCCAACCCAGTGGAGCTGCTTCATGAAGGAAAACTTCATGAAGTGTTTTGGTGTTTTTTTTTTTTAAAAAACTAAGAGCTATGATCACTCTGGTGTAGGAATTACTTTATCTCCATTATTAAACCTTGGTTTTTAAGCTTCTTTTTCCCCCTCAAAGTTTAATTTCAGAGATAAGCTGAGTTTTTTAGTAATTCTAAATGTCAGCTCCTTTTAGTCATTAAATCAGTAAAAACTGTGGGAAACATTAGGAAAGAGCATGATAAACAATACAGTAACCTGTCAGGTGTGCTCAGCACTTCACTGTTTGCAAAGCCCTTTCCCATACACAGCCCAGGGCCTCGCTCAAGGGGCAGCAGGCAGAGAACCCCACGCCTCGGGTGAAGCAGCATTACCATCCTTCAGAGCACGGTTGACTTTTTTTAAAGTATATATTGACCATGTCATTCATTTGTTAAAAAATATATTTTTATTGATTTCAGAGAGGAAGGAAGAGGCAGGGAGAGAGTAACATCAATGATGAGAGAGAATCATTGGTTGGCTGCCTCCTGCACACGCCCCCTACTGGGGATCGATCCTGCAACCTGGCATGTGCCCTGACCAGGAATCAATTGTGACCTCCTGGTTCATGGGTTGACATGCCAGCCTTGGCTTTTGAAGGAGTGAATCCCCCAAAACTTCAGTCATACCTCAGAATCCGTGGGGGCTTGGTTCCAGGACACCCCCCACACACATGTTCCATACCAAAATCCACACATGTTCAAACCCCTTATAATAAATGGTGTAGAACAGTGCATATAGTCGGCCCTCCACATCCATGAATTCCCAACCATGGATCAAAAATGTTTTCCGTCCACGTTTGGTTGAATCTGTGGATGCAAAACCCAGGGATATGGAGGGCCGATTGTATACAGGGGTGGACAAAAGTAGGTTTACTGTGGCAATGCAATACATAATAATACAAAAACAAATTCTGTGTTTTGCAGACTCACAATTGTATTTATTGGAAAAAAAAATCTGTGTAAATGGGCCCATGCTGTTCAAACTTGTGTTGTTCAAGGGTCACCTGTACTGAGCTTATATATTATTCTTAGATTTTTGTATTTATTTCTAATTTTCTATGTTTATATCATATTTAAATAACGTCTTAATGCTTTTTAGTATCCTGTTTTAATAAAGAGCTCTATTTTTTGGAGAAAAAGGCAGAATTGAATAGAAAAACGTGTGCTCTTATTTCTCAAAGGCTCCTCATCTAGCTGTTTGGACTACAAGGGTTGTGGTTTTGGGTCCAATAAGAGACCAAGATTTTGGGATACAAAGCTCTGCTGTCATCCCAGAAATCATCATTAGAGGTGATGGGAAGCCAGACAGAGGAAGGGCAGCCATTCCTGGTGCATAATCCAATAGGTCCCTGTCCCGGGCCACTGGGGCCCAGTCCCCTGAGGGGCGTTGGGAGTTCAGTGTGCGCCCTGCAGGTCTGTCTGCCAGGGGCAGGAGCTGGGGAATTTATCTACAGACTCCCTCCTGCAGAGTTGCAGGTACTTGCAGTTGGAATCCATCAAGGTGGGTGCTCGAGAAAGGTTAATGCCATGGGGGAGGGGGTGGGACACCCACATCACCTGCTACAGAGCTGTGCCCACACCCTCGCAGCTCAGCCTGTTGCAACTTTGGTCCGTGGAAGGATACAGAACAGCCTCAGCGGCTGGCTGATGAGGTTCTCCCGGCCTCCAGCCTTCTGTCAGGCCACCTGTAACTGCCCAGCACGGTCTTACAGGTTGTCACCTTTTACGGGTGCTAGACCCAAGCTGGGCTGGCCCTGAAACAGGCTCCAGCCTACTGCTGCCCCACTTTCCATTATGAGAAACGGGAAAATCCAGTGTGCAGAAGAGACAAGAATGAGGCCGCCACGCCAGCTGCCGAGATGAGATGATAAGCCCTGGTTCTGATCCATTCCTGCGGCCCAGTGGCAGCCCCGTCCGTCCTCATCGGCTTCCCTGCCTCCTAGTGTTAAGCCATCTCCCAGGACCTTCTATGACTGACAACCAAACACCCTTGCCAATTCACATTACGTGCATTTTGCAGCTTGTGGTCTTGTTGGGGCATTGCCCCCTTGAATGGACGTGCACGCAGTAGGTCCTTTCCAGAAAACAGGGCAGAACTCCTCTTCAGATGATCCCCACCTGCCTCCCCCCGCCCTCTGATCCAGGTCACCTTTGAGCTTCTCTTGGCCTGTTGGTGGTCAGCTGCTGGACAGTGAGGGCGGCAAGGGCTGCCGATTGCACAGGGCAGCTGGGAGAGGGGAGGTTTGGGTAATGGATGTCACATCCTGAGAACTCCTTTAGGGAAGGGACTGTTTTGCTCCTGGCACAGCACCTGGCCCGGGTGGAAGCTTGGAATGGAAGGGCGGAAGGGAGAGAGGGAGGGAGGGAGGGAGGGACTAAGAATTGGAGTCCCTAAGGAGCTGGCCATGGCTAACTCACATTGCTATATGACTGACTGGAATGATAAGAGGGCCAGGGATCTTGCATGAGATGACCCCATCCCAGATCTCAAATTCCTGTTGCATGTGGATGACTGCTCTTCCTCAACCTGGCTTCTGGTGCGAGGTGAGGGGATCAGTGCTGCTCAGGGAGGAAAATGGTGAGGGAGGGGGCAGGAGCGGGACAGCACCTCATCCCCTGACGTAACTCTGTTTCCCGTTTGATTTAGCACTTGGCCAATGGCTGCTTGCTTCCCTCTTCCCTGAGCTCATTGCTGTGCGCACAATATGATAGAAGGTGGGGGAGGGGGAAACAGGCCAGAAGTTACAACTACATTTAAATGGGTGAGTCAGTTCCATGAGTCAGTTACTCAAGAGATACTGGTTGGCACCAGGAGCCATTCCAGCCCAGAGAGCCCCACCTCTTGTTAGGTGATGACACAGGATACAGAGGTGACAGCTCCCTATTAATTGTCAAGTCTCTCCCCCCGCCCCCCACCTCTCTAGTGTGTTTGGAGGAGAAGGGGTGATCCCAGGTAGGAGTGTCTCAGGGTACACTGTTGTGGTGGGAAAAACCGCCAGCTGGTGGTGGGAGGCCCCTTCTGAGGTCAGCGCCTCCAGGGTGAGTCTCATGGGGGCTTTTTGCTCTGCGTTCCCCCCTCCCCAAACCTCAGGCCACTAAATGGATCATCTTGGAAGCC